AATTATTATAATAATTTTGTTTTTTTATTGGAAGTGTTTTTGTTTATTCAAGCTGATGTTAAATGATTAGGAATGTTTTTGAAAAATAAAGTTATTTATGTGTGTGAAAATGCATTAGCATTTTTTTTTCTCTTTGTAATTGCTCCGTCTCCTCCTAGTGGCTCAATAGTAAGTCTGCAAACTTGTGATGCTAAAATTCGGGTTTCAAGCACGAATATCCCAATGTGTAGGTTTGTGCTTAGCAACAAAACAAAGAAACACTAATTATCTCAAGTGGCTTAGCGGTAAGTCTGCAGGCTTACGACACTAAAGTTCAAGTTTCGATACCCATGGTGGAAACAGCACAGATAGTACATTGTTTGTTTGTAATTAAGCACAAAGCTACACAATGGACTATTGTGCTTTGCCCACCAAGGGTATCAAAACCCGGATTCTAGCGTTGTAAGTCCGCAGACATACCGCTGTGGCACTGGGGCGCTAGTACATTGTATAGCTTTATCAACAACCAAACCCCTTTCCAATTTTTAATAGATGTGAAAGTATTTTTTCTTTATTTTACCGACTTCTATTTCCACACAAACATCTTTCCAAAAACCATGCCATTTGTTGTAATATTTCTTAAAATTATCGTGAAACAGATGTTTTGATGAAGAAGATGATTAAGAGATTAGTCTAAATGTTTGGAACTTTCTTTCAGCACTTTGATAATGTGAATTTAATCTATGGAACAGTGTCCGAATTCTGTATAGTGTCTGATTGTCTGGATATGACGGGGCATTATAACAGTTGGGTCTTTCTGTAATGTCACACCACTTTGTTCAGTTCTTCTCAAAAGCAAAGTGTTACGATCGTAAAATGTTTAATTTATCATTTATAAGACATACTAAATTTCTTTTAATATTCGAGCTCAGGAAATCATATTTCTCCTGAATTTATTTTTGTGTAAGTCATTTTCTAATGTGAAATCTAGAGTGTATTTACAAATAGACTTTAATTTTCTAGACAATATTTATGGTTCAACGAAAAGGGCAAACAATGCACAGTAGCAGCTCCCCTATATGTAGACTACGTGATGACGTTCATACAGAAAACTGTGAATGATGAATCGATATTTCACACCAAGTTCGGTATGTAATTTACATGATCACTATTTCACACCAACTTCAAGATTTTACTCACATTATCAGTATTTCATACCAAGTTCTGTATGTCATTCACATCAGAGATATTTTATACTAGGGACGGTATGTTATTCATGGCATCAATATTTCACACCAAATTCATTCACATCATCAATATTTCACACCAAATTCAGTACGTCATCCACGCTATCTATATATTACACCAGATTCTGTATGCCATTCTCATCAAAATATACAAGTATTTCCAACATGTTTTTTTTATCTTACATAAATCTGATTCAGAACTGTTTTATTTATTTTCAACATGAATCTTTTGAACCAAGATCAATATCAGGCTCCTAATGTAATGTGTTCTACACAATTCATCAGTCAAAAAGCAGAAATCATGATTCAAAAACTCCGGAAAAATAGATCAGTAAAAATAAATGCGTCTTTATATATTTTTCGAATAGTATGTATTTAAGTTAATTTAGATCTGATTTCTTCTTATTCCGTGTCTGTACGATATAAAGATGAGTGTATGTGCGTGTGTGGTGGTTAGGTATTAACTCATAGGAAATCCATTATCTAGAAAAAGCCTTAACCCTAAAATTACTGATTAGTAACATGTTGAAAATCCATTATCTAGAGAAATCTTAACCCTAAAATTACTAATTATTAACATTAGTAACACGTAGAAAATCCATTATTTAGAAAATAGTCTTAACCCTAAAATCACTGATGAATCCCATATGGATTACATCAGCTTTTTAAACACAACTCTAAACCATTTATGCACCACATTGCTTACGGGTCCAAGGCTGATGATTACAGGGTCCATAATGACATACGTCACACACATAAAAACAAAAAAACATTAAATAAAAATATCATCAATATTGCAATTAATGTCTACTAATTACTATTTGGTTATGGCTAAGTATATAGAATAAGACACTAATACGTTGGAACACAGAAGTAAGATGGTGTGTGTGTGTCTCAGAGAAGAAGGAGGTTTCACACAAACGTTGCATAGCCCTTGGAGAGCCTAAGAATAATGAAAAGTGACTTTAATTTCGTATTTGTAACTATAATTTATGATTTTATGACAAAAATGAACGAATGTTTCGGAGTATTCGTTCGTACTCTATATTTCTGTGATGTTTTTCAGATAAATCCTTTCCCAGTTCCTTTGAATCCATGGTGAAGAAAATCCATTGTTTGCTGCTGCACGTAATAGCTCACATTTACCAGGCCCACTTCAGAGAGATACTTCTCCTCAACCTTCATTCCCACCTCAACACCCTTTTCTCCCACTTCATGCTCTTTGCCCAACAGTTTAACTTGTTGGAAGCGAGTGACACCGAGGTGCTTCGGGAATTAGCTACAGTCCTGAAACTATACTCCTTGGTGGACCCTGGAACCGAGACACCACCCATTCTAAGGAGTATGAAACCAGTTCTCCTGGACATGAGAAATCCACTGACAAAGCAACCTGTGATTGAGAGCTCAGCAAAGTCCGTGGCTCCAGAAAATGAGGCATTAGTTAAGACAGGAAACAAAAGATCTGTCTCATCTTGCGTCGTTGTGCAGTCCGTATCTTTTCCTTCCTTAACGACCTTACACAGACGCATTGGTTCTGGCGGACACTGTAAGTCATGTACAATGGACTTGGTTATGTTCACAAGATCCTCTTCTTGTCGTTCTTTGTCAGTTTAGTTGCAGTAGTCAACCATCTAGTGATCAGTGGTGGTTACCTTAGCAACGAATTTATTTCAGAAGCACGTTACCATAATGATTAATGGATCTTTTGTTAACTTATAACCACTTATCTCCCGAGAGTCATCTGGTGGCAGATACAATAGTTTAGCATTACTTCCCTTTCTCTCTTTGTAGTATGAAGTGAATGTTTGGATCCATAGTTTAATGTTACCAGTTTCTAATCCGGGAACTACAGAAGATGAGATTGTTATATATTACACACGGATATTTTATTGTATTTCTTACTTGTATAGCCAACCGAGTGCTCTAATTCATTGTTGACTGAGTATGTAAATGATATGAGAGTGGTTATATGTATATTTCATACTGCATCCAACAGTATTGCCTTTTTTAAATGCAGTAAAGCTAAGAGAAAAGTCAGATTTCACTCCTTGTTAAGCAGTGTTTTAGACTAACCTATATCCTACCAATCATATTGGAGAGAGAGAGAGATAAAAGGTTGTTATTCTCATCTTATTTTTAGGTCATACCACTGTAATGTAAATGCCCTTAATGTTTCTTTCACCACATTTTGTTCACAAAGAAACAACTCAAGAGCATTTTTATCAGGAATGAAAACTCAACTTTTAGTTTTTGCATGTTTCTCTTAATTAGTCCAGGAAGGTGTTTTCAAAAGGCATATTTTCTAATACAAACCAGTAGTTAAGAGAACGTGGATCAAAGAAATTTCTGTTCATGAATATATATTTAATTTAGACCAAACGTTTCAAATTTCACAAGTACTCCATTCAAACATGACTAATTTTTGCTTAGCTGTGTACCATATTTACATGTGAGGGTAATAAAAGAGCAAAATCTTTGATGTGATATATGTCCCTTCAGAGTATTGTGTAGTATAATATATACAAACCAGTGTATCTATAACAGTAAATAGACAAAATGAGGTGTTTTAATTTGGGGAACATACTATATGTTTCTATAGCTAAGGGTTTAATGTTGTTAGGTAGTTTAATGTTGTTACTGTAGGTAGTATCAGTATACACTGTATGTAGTATCAATATACACTATGTAGTATCAGTATACACTGTATGTAGTATCAATATACACTATGTAGTATCAGTATACACTGTATGTAGTATCAATATACACTATGTAGTATTAGTATACACTGTAGGTAGTATCAGTATACACTGTATGTAGTATTAATATACATTGTGTGTAGTATCAGTATACATTGTGTGTAGTATCAGTATACATTGTATGTAGTATCAGTGTACATTGTATGTAGTATCAGAATACACTATATGTAGTATCAGTATACACTGTATGTAGTATTAGTATACACTGTATGTAGTATTAGTATACACTGTATGTAGTATCAATATACACTATGTAGTATCAGTATACACTGTAGGTAGTATCAGTATACTCTGTAGGTAGTATCAGTATACACTGTATGTAGTATTAGTATACACTGTATGTAGTATCAATATACACTATGTAGTATTAGTATACACTGTATGTAGTATCAATATACACTATGTAGTATTAGTATACACTGTAGGTAGTATCAGTATACTCTGTAGGTAGTATCAGTATACACTGTATGTAGTATCAGTATACTCTGTAGGTAGTATCAGTATACACTGTATGTAGTATTAATATACATTGTGTGTAGTATCAGTATACATTGTATGTAGTATTAACATACATTGTGTGTAGTATCAGTATACATTGTATGTTGTATCAGTATACACTGTATGTAGTACCAGTATACACTGTATGTAGTATCAGTATACACTATATGTAGTATCAGAATACACTATATGTAGTACCAGTATACACTGTATGTAGTATCAGAATACACTATATGTAGTACCAGTATACACTGTATGTAGTATCAGTATACACTATGTAGTATCAGTATACACTATATGTAGTATCAGTATACACTATATGTAGTACCAGTATACACTGTATGTAGTATCAGTATACACTGTATGTAGTATCAATATACACTATGTAGTATCAGTATACACTGTATGTAGTATCAATATACACTATGTAGTATCAGTATACACTGCAGGTAATATCAGAATACACTGTATGTAGTATTAATATACATTGTGTGTAGTATCAGTATACATTGTGTATAGTATCAGTATACATTGTGTATAGTATCAGTATACATTGTATGTAGTATCAGTATACTCTGTAGGTAGTATCAGTATACACTGTATGTAGTATTAGTATACACTGTATGTAGTATTAGTATACACTGTATGTAGTATCAATATACACTATGTAGTATTAGTATACACTGTATGTAGTATTAGTATACACTGTATGTAGTATCAATATACACTATGTAGTATTAGTATACACTGTAGGTAGTATCAGTATACTCTGTAGGTAGTATCAGTATACACTGTATGTAGTATTAATATACATTGTGTGTAGTATCATTATACATTGTATGTAGTATTAATATACACTGTATGTAGTATCAGTATACATTGTATGTAGTATCAGTGTACACTGTATGTAGTATCAGTATACATTGTATGTAGTATCAGTGTACACTGTATGTAGTATCAGTATACACTGTATGTAGTATCAGTATACATTGTATGTAGTATCAGTGTACACTGTATGTAGTATCAGTATGCACTGTATGTAGTATCAGTATACACTATATGTAGTATCAGTATACACTGTATGTAGTATCAGTATACACTGTATGTAGTCAGACAAATATGAACAAGATATAATTTTGTGGAACTTATCATTATATCTTTTATGCGTAATGAGTAATAACGTTATATTTGTGACCAACAGTGATGGTAATTGTGACTACCTTTAAATTTGTTAGAGGGGCACTTCAGACCCAAGCACTGCTTCGAGGAAGGGGGAAGGGAGGTGATGCCATCAAACACGATGACGTCATATTATGTAAAATAAAGACAAGAATAATTATACCATTAGTAACACTAACTCCTCGTCATTCCTCAAAACTATATCGCGACAGCTCAGTCAGCTATGTGATCATTAGCCCGATAACGTAGCATGTCCACTTACATCCTTATCTTGTTTGGTTCCTTCTTTCAAGTTCAGTGGCCAGCCCTCCATAGTTTTTTTATGTAGCGATATTTTTTCCCCTTATACTTGCTTGCTTGTTTATTCTTTTTATAAGATGGCGTACGCGGGTTAATAGGTTATATAATGTATTATAAAGCTTTATATATTTTGCATAAAATAATAATAAAATAAGTAGTCAACGATTGTGAAAACTGTGTTTTGCTCTATCAAATTATAATAAAAGTATAGTTACTGCTAGAACTAGGTAGGCGCTAGGTTTGTTGAAGAAAGATGACGATGAACAAATATAAGAAATGTCGGTTTTGGCTATTTGGCGGTTTTCGAACTTAGGACGTTCTGGATAGCTGAAAAGCGGCATATACACCGGAATATGGAGCAGCTATACCAAGTAGCTCTTCATATCTAGCTTCTGATTACCTATAGAGAAGAAAATTCAGATGACTTTTGTATTGCTTTAATACGGACGTCCGTGAAATCCTTACATAGAGAGTGTTAGCGCCTTCGCCGATCAAAGGAAAGCATCCGGATAGTTGTGGACATAGTACCTCCAAGTACAAGTCGATGTTGAAAATAATATTATGCTATATACATGTTTGGGCACAAAGTGTACATATAAAATATTATTGCGCTTTCATTAAATGTGTACTTTGGGTATTTGTAAAATGCTACTATATGGTAGAATTTTTACAAGGCTTATAATTGGTTAAATATTATTTCTTATTAAAATGCACGGATTTCCAGAAAACTGTTTGTTTGTTTTAGGACAAAGCCACATTTGGCTATCTGCTGTGTCCACCGCGGGAATCGAAACCAGGATTTTAGGGCTATAAGTCCGTAGATTTACCGCTGTCACACCGGGGGATTTCAAGGAACTGATATAATTCTTTTTTCTTGTGTATTTTAACTTGTATATCTGTTAACTTAGAAACAGTAATTTTTCTACTTTCTTTTCATTTTACGTTTAATTTAACGTTCAATCCCTTACTTGCTGTTTTTGCGTTTACGTCGCATTTGTAGTGACGATGATGATTTCACCTTGAAGTCTGAAGAAATGACTCATGTCGTTTCCTCTCGGGGCTATTCTAAACCAATCTTACGAAAGGCAAAGCTAGTCATAAGACCTGGTAAAAATACCCTTGAGACATTGTCACAAAATACGGAACATAATAAGCTTACTTTAACAATTCCTTATCACGTAATTGTATCCCCTCATATCACCCCGGGACAACTTTCACATTCTTCAAATGAACCAATGAAAAAGTTACAACTGCGGAATATGATTACATAAATAACAGGTAGTTGATTTTCTATGCCAGGGGTAGAAATCATCACTGTACCTCACTCCCCCTCCCCCTCCACAGCTAAAAAAATATACCTAAAGACCAACACGGACATTCGAAACGATTTTCCATGCTGGAGGAAGGGGTCTTAGATGAACGTGATCCCGAAAAGTAACTACATCCCGATCCAGACATCCTTTTCTTGCTGTCCATGTGGTTAGTTTTCATGTTGCTCGAGGTGCAGTAAATAAGAACTTTTCGTTTCAAATGCTTAAATTTAAATTGAATGATTTAAGTTGGCTTAAAATGCGCCAACACCATCCAGTTTGTTGCATACAAAATGAGGAAGTTTTCGTCAAATACAAACAAAAAGGGATACCTTTGACTTGATGTCTTCTTTACAAAAATTTAAATGTGAATAGACCAATCATTTATTCATGTCATACTGTGTGAATCGATAAAACTGACATATCGTAAATTACCCGGATAGAAAATTAAAATTATTAAACAGTTATTATGTGTTGTATTATATTTCTCGCACGTGAGTTAGTGTGAACGCTAGTATTGTGTGAGTCAGCATAACTGAAACGCAAGCTATGGCATTGTATTTGCTCATAATAAGAAGTGTTTATTTAATTGAATGAAAAGTTAAGTGTGAATATTTTAAGTGTTTATTTTTAATTTCTATTTTAGTATTTGCTGTATTTGATTTATAACTGACTTGTTACGTGGAAATACACGTGTATTATTTATCATAACTTTTAAAATACTATACTGCATAAAGAACAGCCCAACTAATGAGTTCTGGTACTGAACAAAAAGCATATTGGCAGTGACTTGTAGGAGTTGTTTTTTGTTGAATTTCGCACCAGCCATCCCTAATTTTGAAGTGATAAACATCTCCCACCGCAAATTCTTGATTTAATATTTCTAATTTCGAGCCACAGGGGACAAATTAAGAGGAAAATGCATGCGGGGGAGGGGGAAATCTTCAGTTAGCTTGTTTTATAAAGTTCGTAGCTGTTTTACTTTTCAGAAGCGTATAATATGAAACCAAGAAACTCTGGTGTTCGTCTTGTAGCGCCATCTATTGATGTGTTATTTGATAACTAAGGACCAGCTTTTAAACTTTTAATTTTACATAATACACATATACAAACTGGTAGAGTTTGCTTATGAAACAGAGACGTAGGATTTTGCTATTGATTTATAATTCTTCTTTTTTTTCTCTTAAAAATAACACCTTACATACAAGAATGTTTTTTCGAAGTTTTCTCAATGAAAATCATTGTATTCTGTTACGTTACAATCCACATGCTTCAATAGCTGCAAAAATTTCAACAACTTATAATATTCAACTTAGACATAATTTACAGTGATGCCATTACATTTTTTTTCTTTTGATAAATAGGATATAGAAACTGTTTAGACTGGCCTCTATGATTCCACAAATAACAACCAAATCAGCTACAGTTTTATCAGATAACAAATAAAAGAAATACGTATGTTGATACAAGGGAAAGGTTTACTGTTTTCTGTTACGTTGATGTAAGAGAAATGTTGATAATATTCTGTCACCTTGACATAACTTAAACATTGATAGTTTTCTGTTCCTTTGATGCCAATAAAATGTTTTACATTTGTCACTGCGTTAAACTTGTAATAAAGTTTTCGTCGTTACCCTTTCAAGTCGTCTCCAGACTTTATTTGTAAGAGTGAAATGTTGACCGTTTCTCCATATTCGGCGTTTATTTCTTTATTGTCATTTTCGAAATTTACACAAAAATCACGGTGAGCCAACTGTGTTACTTGGAATCCTGTTTATAAATATGAGTTGTATTACGAATGTTATTCTTGTCCATGCAAAAACGATCTATTTCTATATACTGCGGATTTGTTTGTTTGTTTGTTTGTTGAATTGTACGCAAAACTATTCGAAGGTTATCTGCGCTAGCCGGTCCTAATTTAAAATTGACAGACAAGGGAGAAGGTAGCTAGCCAACAACATTATAACGCATCATGTTCGTAGATTGCGAGTCGAGTGTTCTAATGACCAGGTCATGCCAGGTCCACGTACTGCGGACTTGGCAAACACTATCAACTGAGGTGTCTTTCTGGTTTCTGACGCATGGATATTTTTGATTGAGAAAAATATTTTTTCTCTATCATAACATGTTTTATTTTCTTTTAAACTGCAGTTTGTAGCTTATATCGATACTTTTTGATACCGTTTTGTTGAGATGTATTTGCATTGCTTGACCCCCTCAAAAAGTTACTGAAATATAAAACTTGAATATTTGAAGAAAAATATAACGTGAGTGTGTTTGTAATTACACGCATAGTTCTTGCGTGATATATCCCTATTAGCTAGGTCCTCCCTTTTTCTTTCAGTGATAAGGGTCCTATTGAACACGCTTAAATATTATCTAGCCTAATTATCGACGTCCGTCTCGTGTGAAGATATGTGACGACGTACGAGACCATGATTGAATATATAGAAAACGTTTCTGAGGTCGTGAATGAGTTTGGTGAGCGATTCTGGGACCGTGATTGAGTACGGTGAATGTTTCTGGGGCCGTGATTAAGTATAATGAACATTGTTGGGCCCCTGGTTAAGTATATCGTGGACGTTTTTGGGGCCGTAATTAACTATAACGAACATTTCTGATGCAGTGACTGAGTATACATTTAACGTTTCATGTTGAAGTTATTACACCATACTCAGCCTTAGATGTGTGTCTGTGTTTACGGATAATTTAGTGACATTTTGCTCAGGATTTTTTATTTTATTTTTTTTACAGTAAATGTTGAGGAATGCCTCTTTCACCGACCGTAATAACAGTCATACAATTCATAAGTTTTTACTCGCCAGGAAGCACATCGCTAAAGTCCGGGATTCGATCCACACGGTAGACACAGCAAATAGCCCAATATGGCTTTGCTCTAAAACAAACAAACACAAGTTTTATATGGAGTAAGATTCTCGTATGGGTTTGTTTATTTGTATTTAAGCACAAAGCTACACAATAGCCTATCTGTGCTCTGCTCACCACGGGTATCAAAACCCGGATTCTAGCGTTGTAAGTCCGCAGACATACCGCTGTGCCACCGGGGGGCAAGGTCTCGTATGGGATTTATATAAGACGCTATATACCTTTTTTTTCTTTTTCTTAGATTACAAAATAGTGGACATATTTCTTTGAATCATCATTCAGTTGGATATTATTGAGCTTCAGAGTAAAGCTACGCAGTAAGCTATCCGCGCTGTGTCCATGGCGGGGACCGAATCCCGAGTTCTAGCACTATCAGTAAAACACAAGTTCGTGTCACATAGAAGTTTTAAGATTGTGTGTACTTGAAGAATGTTACATGGATGACAGGTTTTTAATAGATAATGTGCGCTCTAAGTTTGACAATAGCACCTACAATAATCTTTATCTTATTCACAAAGTGGCTCCACTATTATTTTCATGGTCTTTTTTCGAAACACCAATGATCTGAGAGAACATTCCTAATGAGACTACTTGTCTAGAGCGAGATTAACTTGAACTTTTGATGTATATTTAGTACGTTTTTTTTTGTCTCAGACTCTCATACACTCAAACATAAATATTCTTTCTCCGATTAAAGACTGAGTGTTCGTAAGTTTCCAAACCCTCCTCAAAAGTCTCCCAGTAGATCGATACCGACATTTTCAACCTGATGGCCATTCTATGCTCACACGGGCTAAACGGCGAGTCAGAGACCCCTTAGCCTAATTTTAAACAATTGACCAGCCACTCGGCAGCACCTACTGCCATAGTACCTTTATCTAGATCCTGGAACCGAATAACGCGATCTATAACTCTTATAACGCGGGCACAGCTGAAATTACGGACTGTATTTAGCTGCATTGCGGCTCGAACTTTGAACATTACGACCCGCAACTCTGCACGTTAACTATTAGCCACTGCTGGCCCATTTTAGTAGAAGATAATAAATATAAATTTATGTTAAAGTTTAATTTTAGTAAAGAACTGTTTCAAATAGGGTGTTTTTCAAATATAAAAAATTGCAAAAGAAAGAACAATCTCTACTTTAACGACAATTTGTTTTTGTTTCCACGTGAAGTATTAAACCACACTTCAGTCCCCATAAATCAAAGGATACTAGCATGAATACCCTACCTCGTGTGGTTCAGCTTCATGTGGATGGCTCACAAGTAGTGGAGCTCAGGAAACCTTCCAAAAAGCCGTTTGGATTTTTCATAGCTCGAGGTAGGATCAGAAACTCGAAAGGCTAGAAGACTGTTGTTTATATCAGAATAGTGTTTGCTATGGTTTTATTATTTCCCCAAAAGGGGGCCGACGGCCGCCTGGACAGGTCACCTGTTTTAACCACTTACACAACCATACAGTAGTGTGTTTTCTGTCAGTCAGTTACATAAGGGACGCTTAACGTTGCAACTTTACTGTCGTGACGTCAGTAAAACGTGCGCATGTCATGAATAACGAGAAGAATTATGCACTGTTTAGGCTACAACACAGTATGACATATGAACTTGAAACTTGTTACTTGTTACTCTTCATTTTTGTTTTATTTACTCTTGAAACAGAACACTTTAGGGGACCCTGCGCAAGCACATCTAGTTTATTAATATATTTCGTGTGTGCAAATCTAACCAAAGATGAAAGGATTGTGTTTTGGATTTATTGTTTTAATTCACCATACGTAAAACAAAATTATCCTGGCAATTATCATGACACAATTCCGCAGAGAATAAAGCAAAGGTTAATTAAAAAATACTATTGTTCGAAATGATGTAATTATTAAAAATCAGAACTAACCTCGTGTAAAGGTTACTTTTATTGTATTTTTAAATGAATTACTCAGTTTAGCAGATTTCTTACTAAATATTAAGGCAAATATAGTTTATTTTAAAGGGGAGTAAAAATTACTTACCCACTTATTAAGTAGTTGGCTTTGAAATCATAGATAGTTTAAATGTTTTGCATCGTAATGGAACAGTGGGATTTATTAAATTATTAAATTTAAATTTATATATTATATATTATATATTTATATATTATATTAAATTTCCCTTTACTAGTTTTACCCATTAAGCTACAAAAAAGGATGGTTTGGACAATAAAAGTTAGTATAATAGCTGTGGTGGACACAGTGCAGGATTTGGACAGGATAAGAGTATACAACACACGTGGTTAGCATAGCATTAAATAAAAAGCTATGTTGGAAAAAACAAAATAAAAACAAAAACTGACTAGTCTATAAGAAACAGATCCCCCTCCCCCCCATGTAAATATCATCATTACCCTTAAGAACTAGGTTAAACAATCATGTAAATTTTAAGATAATTTTCCCCATCGTGTTTTTCAGATAGTTTAAAATTATTTAGATTAAAAAATACAGGAGACTGTTTACTTTATGTTAAAAAACGAATTTGGTGGCTCATCACGTCCGGTCATGATCCATCTAACAAACTTGATTCTTCACAATAGACCTGTAGCGTAGTTTCTATTTCAGAAGACCCCGTAGTAAGCCTGCTTTCCACAATCCATCTAATGTAGCACCCATTTCAACAGTCTGATCGTACAGAAATCCATAGGCGTATCGTCCGGCAACTTCGCCGGTATAATGTCGTAAGGGATATCATTAATACCCGTTTCATTCTCCAGCTGAAAGCTTTGTTTTAGTGATCCCATACTCTGTTGCTATC